GTCTGCATTTTTCAGCTGAAAAGAGCCATAGTTTATGCATAAACAGACATTGCAATTGGAGGGCTTCACCACAGTCAAAGATGAGAACACAAGGCTAGGAAAACAACTCAACTTTAACATTTGTTGGAAGGAACATAAGTTATTTTAATAATGATCACATGATAATGAAACATACACACACAACAAAATCAAAGCAATCCATAGAATCCATGCTAGAAAAGAAAGATTTATCCCTTCAATCAATCTGCACTAGATCGACTAAATGAAATCTCTAAACCCCTAAAAAAGCCACACAGACGTAGAGTTAAATCGCTAAACCCCTAAAAGGTAAAAGCGCTAAACCCCTAGATCGAGTCCACAAATTGCTGTCGTTGTTGTCGTACGCCACTCCAGGTGGTCTCCCTGCTTCCCTTTAACGGTTTGCGGTTCTCTGTGCTCAGCATTTGAATCGACCACTGTGCTATGTGTTTTTTTTTTTTTAGTTTAGATTTGTGCAATGTGTTTCTTTTTCTTTTTTAGTTTATATATATACAATCTGTTTTATGTATTTAAGATTTTATTCTTCTCTTTTTTTCTTTCTCTCTTCACAAACTTTGCTAATCGTGGTAATACTTATGCTTCATACTCTTGAATTTTCTTGTTCCTAATATGTTCAAAGACACAATATATATATATATATATATATATATATATATATATATATATTCTGATCAACCGGTCCGACAAGTGATCTGATTAAGAATTTGACATAATCTTTTCAAAAAATAAGAATGACAACCTTATTATCAACATAAATCAATCTAATCGTAATAAAATTTGATCGGTTCAAGTTAATAATTTTTTTTTTACAATCCTACCTAATTTAGTTTTTACTTTTTCTCCTTATAGGGGTTCCAACAATTACCTTTTATTAGCATGAATCCACAATAATCTCTATTAGCACAAATTATTGAACTGAATGAAAGAAAACCAAACCAAACCATTGAGAGTATTAGCACAAACATTTTTATTTATTTATTTTGTCATAGGTCATACATATTTTGAATTATTAGTGTAACACCCCGTGTATACCCGTTTGTTATGATGTCATCGTATTAAGCTACGTTTAATTAAAATGCGAAATAAACTTTTTCTTTTCAATTATGACGTCATTATCATTTACCAAGTTAATTATTTAATCATTTTCAAAACATTGCCTGTATGTAATTTGCAATCAAACAACTAACTGAAATACCTCATATATTAAATAACTGTGTCTCTAGTCACGGAACTACAACACGTAGACCGGACCATCCTGATAGTTTATACAACTCAAAACTACAAGCAAAACTAACATCAATGTGGCATGGACAATCCCCATGCTCACCAAATATGTCAGCAAAGCCCAACAGAGTCTCAAATCCAATAACATGATAATAAATGTAAAACATGTCAGCATCCAAGCATATCATCATAAAAGCATAAATCTCAACTCAGCTCCGGCCTCCTGCAGCCCGAGGTACTAACCCCCGAGGTACCTAATCCTGAAAAATGTGCCCCAAACGTGGGGTGAGATCTCTAAAAAGAAATCTCAGTAAGACAAGGGGTCCTCAAGGACTCTTCCGCCCCAAGCTCACTTACAAGCATAATATAAGTTCAAAACAGTAATTTCAGTGCATGTTCATGTTAAGCATATATTTCATTACATTATAATCTCTTGCTCAACGAGCTAACGTTTAACTCAGTAATCATGTGATGTATGCAAATGCGGTTCGACTGGCCAGAGAACATGATAGGGATTATGCACGTATGCGACCCATCTAAACATAAGAGTTGCAGTCTTATGCCTTACACACCAGAGTCGTTGTCTGATTGTGTAAGTAAACATCACTTCCATACACTATATGCCTTACACACCAGAGTCGCAATCTGATTGTGTAAGTAATTAACAGACATATTCACATATCTCAGGCATATATCAATGCATATAACATTTTCATAAAAGCATACCATGCATATAAACCACCCTCCCATGGAGGTCGGTGGAACAAACAACAGATCAATCCGAGGACACGAAAGCTTACCTGTACCCGTATGCCCCTCCGACTTGAACTCGGCATCAAAAGGGTCCACACCACAAATATAATCCAATGCACTCACAGATCTGGTTCAATGACCATCATAGTATCAATATACATATTCTAAAATTCCAAGGAAATTGGGTATTATTTTCTTTTTCATTTCGAACATGGAGATCCTTTCTAAAACATATCATTTAACTTATTTAATTTTAAATAATTACTATTTTATAAATATATATGCAATAACCACAAAACTAAAGGATTGTGATGACTGAAAATAAGACACTAAACAAATAACATTAACAAATTCACAATGAAAAGTGATGAAAAATAGAATTAACAAAGCATCGCTGCCTAGATATTAACTACATAAATAGAAATAAACTGCCACATGTTTAGCAATTCATTCTCTGATCGGGTGGATGTATATATACCCAATTTGAAAATCAATTCCTGTAACTATCTCTAACGGGACCAACATGCACTTATTGCTGGCTTGAAATATGCCTTTGTACTTGTTACTGATCCTTACGTACTTGTTACTGATTTTGCACCACGCTTGGCTCGTGGGTAAGACACTATTTTTGGTCGAGACAAAAAATTTATTGTAAAGTCATTCATAAATTCACTTTTCCATTGCACAGACGAATATATTCCTTTTTTGTCGAATTCACTTTTCCAAAGGAATATATTCATATTCCTTCCGTGCTTGTCGTCACGTTCTAATGGGAGGCGACGTGATTTTGCCAAACCCGTCAGCAAATGTGGCGGTTTCATGCCACATCATCACCAATCCCGTCACATTGTGTGACATGTTTAACAGGCCACTGATCCCGTCGATTTGGGTGGCGGGACTGAGACAATCTCGTCGGTTTATGTGACGGGATTCAAAGGTCACGTGGCTGGACTCATGATCTGATCCTACATGGCATGGCATCGCGTCGTATGTAGCTACGGGACTGATCCCGTCAACACATATTACGGCTTTGACTGCCTTAAGTTGGTCTTTCATTTCCAAACTGCTTTCATTAAGAGATACATTTGTTAAATGTGCTTAGTACGGTCGTTTTGCCCCTTTTGAAGGCATATGTCTAGAACCTTGTAAGTGTTCAAAAATGCCAGTCCAAAAAATGTAGATTTAGACGCTGACTTGTTTTTTATACTATTCCAATCATGTATGCATATTAAACCAACTTTTAATTTGGCTCAAGTTACAAATCCAATAGAATCTTTAATTATTCAAAAATGGTTTTAAAAATTATAAATTCATTATAGGAGGTATTGCTGGAATTAACATAAAGGAATGATCTTTGCAAAAAGTAAAACAAGTCGGTATAAAGGTAAATTACAAATTCACAGTAAGCTTAAAGGTGCCTATGACTTTAGTTGTGAATAACAGAGTATTGACTACAGACCTGTTGTAGTCATAAAACAACATGTTGTAGACATAACGATGAAGAAGAAGAGAGCTTACAATGAGGGTTTTGGGGTTTAATGAAGTAGATAGCTCACAATTAGGTATTGCTGGATACCTGATCAAAAGTGTAGACGCTGCCCTTGTAGACAGGAAAGAAGGACACCTATTTTTGTTAGTCAATGGAGTATATCAAACTGACTATAGACGGGAAAGAAGGACGCCTATTTTTATATTATTTTTTTAAATATAAAAAAAATTATATTTAAAAAAGTAATATCCAAACTAAATATAAGATTTTCTCTCATGAAAATATTAAAATATAAATAAAATAGTGAACTTGACTTTTGTATAATTAGATTTTAAGAATATTTTGTTATATGCCTTATTTCATAACAGTTGCGTTATAATTTATTATAATTCTAGTTCTCCTATTTAAAATAAGATTTAAGAATTATTGTGATATCCTCTATGCTAGTCAATTGTAGAGGATGTTACATTTTATGGTATTAGAGCACAAAGGTTCAGGTAAATAAAAGACTTAAATTAAACGTTGCTTGATATTTTGTCATAAATAGAATGGACTGCATTTATCACTAACTAATTTATATTTCGATCAAATAATGGTCATTAAAAATAAATTTGGCCAATAAATCTAGTCAATATTTTCTCAATCTATTTAATTTTTGCTGGACATGGTTAACCCTTTTGATAAGTGATGAATATATTAAAGAAACTTTTTTCACCCTTTTTAAAATTTAAAGAATAAATCTCTTATTAAACCAAAATTAAAGAAAAAATTCTGCATTTAAACAAAGAAAAAATTGTGTACATTTAAGTCATTTTAAGAGAGAATAGATACAAAGAGATGAAATCTATATTATTATATTATTTATCTTTTTTTTTCAATAAAACTCATATTTCTTTATATCTATCTTTTTTAGAATGAATTTACACTTTTTCCTTAAACAAACTCCTAATATGAACTTGTTGAATCGTAAGAGATAAGGAATAATGAATAATAATGAAAGATAGTTTTTATGAGGGTATCTGAGGGCAAATTATCTGTGTAAATATGACAACATGAAAGTCAAAAAGTCATAATTGCTTTTCTAAATCATTTAAGTAACCAAATGATGGCATTTATAATTTTTTTTTATATATAAATAAAATTAAATATATAGCTTGATACAAACTATTTCATTATATCACAACTAATCTGGTTCAATGTATCTTAATTCACAATTTTCAAAATTTCGACCATCAAATTAATCCAAAATTCAAATCACATTTTTTGTTGTATTCGTAGCAGGGTATACAATCACTTCACCAACTAGAATCATTCCCATTTTATATTAAAAAAAGAAAGAAAGAAAATTGAAAAACACCAATCACAGAGGTTGATTTGGGTGGGTGGGCGAAGAGGGGAACCTGAAGAAAAGAAAGCCCTTCCTTTCCTTTGTGCCTGCAATTCTCAACATTTATCCACACATGCACCTTTAACTAGTATAGTACGAGCATTTTTTTTCTTCTCTCATTTCTAAACTTGATCAATTAAATATACAATATTATACATTTATTATAATAATTTGGAGTTGAAGAGAGAGAACGCCACGGCACTGTGTGTTTCTACGCAACCTTGTTTCTTCTTATTCTTGGCTTGGACAATATGAGTCATGGCGTCTCTCTTCTAATGCTAACATACCCATCATCCCCTTCTTCGTCTCTGCTTCTCCTATCATGTGAGTACTTCCCTTTTCCTCTTTCTAGAGATCCACTGTTGCTACCCATGTGAAAAAGATTCGTTTTTTATTCTTAGGGGGCGTTTGGTACACGGCATTTTGCCGGATTCCTGGGAAACTGAATTTTTCTAAATTTTAAATTTTTGAATATTATCGTAAACTAAATGTAAAAATCATATTTTTAAAAATTGAGATTCCCGGACAAATAAAAATTTCCCCTGTACCAAACGCCCCTTTAGATCCCCATGATGATAATGATGATTTTTATTTTATTTTTGGAAAAAAAATTGAATCAGTTTTTTTTTTTTTTTTTTTTTTTATGATTACTTGATAATTCTATGTGATGAAGTCTTGTTGAGTGGTCTCTCGCCATGATCTGTGTACCCAGTTGATTTTACTTTCATGGGCATGTGTAAATCTGCATTGTAGTTGGAATTTGCTTTTTGATGATGTTGGCATATTGGTGTATAAATATGCTTGCTGATTGTTGTTTTTTGCATTATCAGAGTGAACCATGATGCCCGTTTTCCTTGGTGCTGCTGGGGCTGCATATTGACTGGTGATGATCAATGAGGTGATACTGTGAGTGAGCTATGTGATCTGTTCCTCGTCTCATGCATTTTTTGGAATTTCCTATTTGATAGACATGTATGAGTTTGACAAGTAGTGGATTTTTCTGGGAGAGGATATTTTTGTGGTAAAATATGTTCTTGGGTGAAGGGGGAATTTAATTAGGAATTATATTTTTTTTTTCCTGGGGTAGGATGGATTTGCAGTGTAATATGCAGCCCGAATTGGGAAAATTGGAACAGATTATTTACCAATTTCTTTTGAAGAGCTTACACATCATTTTGGACTCGAGGGTGCCTTTGTTAAAGTCACATGATAGAAGTGGTGACCAGTCAATGGGTTTTCGTGTGAGAAGGAGTGACAAATGGTTTAACTTGGCATTAGGTGATCGACCTTCTGCTTTAGATAACTTGAACTTCTGGCACAGAAATTTGATGGATCCTATGAATATTGACATTATACTAGTTCATGAAGGGACTGGTTCTTCTGTTGAGACAGTTATAGAGAGGTGGGTTGTTCAGTATGATTGTCCCCGAGTAACAGCTCCTCACACTGGTGACATTACTGGCTCTTACAAGAAGACTTACCAGAAGTCAATAGTACTGTTCCGGGCTCTTCATTCTCAAATGAGGCTTCTCCCTGCTCATAAGATATTTAGGATGCTAAGTACATCAAGTCATGCTTGTAATTTTGATATTATTTACAAGGTCTCTTCCTTTAGTGATCCATTCTCTCGGGCAGAAGGGGGAATGCTGGAAGAATATAATTTCACTCCTGTTGACGCACTTCCGGGCCGCCTTTGTATATCTGTGACCTACCGTACTGTGCTATCTGATTTCAACCTCGAGTGTTCAACACCATTACCTCCAAAAATAATTACTGATTATGTTGGAAGCCCCAATACTGACCCTTTGAGGTCTTTCCCTTCCTCAGAAAAGGGTGTTTGTGCCACTTCCTTTCCTTTGAGAGGGATAGCACCTCCATCTTCTGTGCCACTTGAACGTCCTCACAGCTGGACAAGTGGCCTCCATAAAGCAGCACCTTTTGTACAGAACCATCCATATGTTGGATCCCCACCGGTGTACCGTGCTTCTCCCAAGCCATATGATTTTCCATCTCCACCTACTGATAATTATGGTATCAGAATTAACAACTATCGAATACAAAACCGGCAAAGGTCTACAAGTTACGATGAGTATCAACTTTCTCCTCCATTCTCACCCTCATCATCTCCATCACCACCTACATACTTATATAGTGGCAATCCAATGCAAACCCGTATGCGCGCTGAAACTGCCCCTGTAACTATACCTCATCCAGTGATGAGCAAAAGCTCTAGAAATCTTTCTCCTAATTTTTCAGATCCCAGTAGAAATTCTCTGCCTCCTTTATCTCCCAGAAGGAATGATGCTTCATCACAGGAGTCTCCATCTGGAATTAGGTCATTCAGGAAAATAGAAGCTTCAAGGGCTGGTCAAAAGGTAACCTTGGTCCTTCATTTTCTACTACTGAAATTCAAATCTAACGTGTTTTATCTGTTTGATAAGCCTTGTATTTGCTTCATAGATTGTCAAAGATAGCAAGGATGATTCAGGGCGGTTCTCAGGATTGTTATCTTCGAGTGACTCACCACGCATCGGATTTTCTAGAACCTCTAGTAGATTATCTTTTCAGGATGACTTGGATGATGGTGACTTTTCGTGTCCTTTTGATGTTGATGATGTTGATACACCAGATGTTCCATGCAGGTACTTTGATAAACTTCGTTATTCACAACTAAAGTCATAGGCACTTTTAAGCTTACTGTGAATTTGTAATTTACCTTGATAACGACCTGTTTTACTTTTAGCAAAGATCCTTCCTTCATGTTAATTCCAGCAATACCTCCTATAATGAATTTATAATTTTTAAAACCATTTCTGGATAATTAAAGATTCTGTTGGATTTGTAACTTGTGCCAAATTAAAAGTTAGTTTAATCTGCATACATGATTGGAATGGTATAAGAAACAAGTCAGCATCTAAATCTGCATTTTTTGGATGGGTGTTTTTGAACACTTACAAGGTTCTAGACATATGCCTTCAAAAGGAGAAAGAACTTATGGATATTCTATGGAATAATAATGAAAAAAGCAGAAGACGAGAAGCTTATTCAAGAGTGTGGATTTGTTTTTGGAGGACTTTATTATAGATATATTTCCTAGGTGTTATTTCTGAGGCTTTGATAGGTTTTAAAGGCAAGTTTTAATATATAAAAAGTATCATTTCTGGTGGTAATTTTTGTTATCATAGGTTCATTTATATGACTATGATCCTTACTTAACGTAGAATGTTTTTTCCAGCCAAAGTGATTGGGTGTAACCGTGTAAGGCAATAAATTTTTTTAAGATACTTTTATTTGATTTAACAGTTGGTCCATATTAGCCCCTATGTATACTCCACTTCTTTGTATCAAGGATAATTATGAGACCAAAAAGACAGTAATTATGATTGTAAAGGTCATAATTGCTATATTAGAATTCAGAATAATATAAGTGAAGGTTCTCATTGTTGTTCTAATAACTTCCCCTTCTTTATTTAATCTCATGAAGTTCAGAATCATATATGATTAAGGTAGAACTCTTTCCAAAATTAACTCTTTGCTTCTTATACATACAGAGATGTTTTTCAGAGTTTAGCCTAGGAAAATCAGAAAATTTACTATAAATATAGGTGTCACACAATTTAGTCAAAACAATAATTGATCTGGCCGAGTAATTCATCCCCAAAAGGCAAGTTTGTCATAGAGTCATAACCGCTTACTAAATCTCCAATTTATAATCTGACAAGGTTGGTTATAAATAAAGAGTTTGACAATATGTGATAGTGATATCTATATTGTTCCCTGGATGGATATGCCTTTTCTGCTTGTTGCTCCATCCGTTTTGACCCAACCTTTGGTTATCCTCGTGTAGATAGAATTGGGATCGCCTGGTGTATTTTGAGAACAACAGGGTTGATGTCCTTTCTATCTCTCTAAATTTAGGTGAGCCTCGTGGATTTTATAAATATAGAGCCATTTGACTTTAAAGAGATTCAGATGCCATCTTTTTGTGGTATAGAGCTATTCATTGGTTTCCATGTGTGTGTCAGCACATGGCCTATTTTTTTATTTGTTTTTTAGGGGGTGGGTGTTTTTCTCCCTGACATTACTTCATTAGTGACTTTCAGAATAATGGTCATACTTTTTTATTTATCAAATAACTAGCAAAGTTAAAATTAATCTAGACATTTACACGGTTTGTTAACTTATGATTGCTCAATGCTCATTTGTATCTCTTGGTTGCCCTAGTTTTTTCATATATTAGGACTTGGGAGGAGGTGACTCCAGCTACATGCCTGTGCTTGGCATCCTCTAAACCTGAAATCTAACATGATTGATTCTACTTTGGCAACTTTCAAAGTGATGGCTTGTTACAGGAACATGTCATTTATCTGCCAGTAACATGGTCCTAGAGTTCTTTTTTTTTTTTGAAAGCCTGCCACTGTTGACTGATCCTATTTGGAAATAATGATACCTTATTGGATTATATTTTGCTGTTCTATGGCCATTTATAGTTTGGGCAGATTGACAATGTTACTTAATCCTTTGTTAGATCGACCTGTCTTTCTAAATGCTCCTCTAAATGTCCATGATTTGTATTTTAGTATCTAATGATGTTATTTCTTTTTTCCTTTTTGTTGATTTTATGATAAGTAGTCAGAATGTGGATGGGAAGAGTGGTTCGGAGATCACTTCAACATCACTACAAATGGGGAAAAAATCACCTGATGCTGCTGTTGGGGAACTTGTGCACATGCTTAGGACTGCACCTTCTTTGCGCCAAGATCCAAGTTGCTATTCATCCCATTCCCTAAAGGCTGAACTTGAGGGAGGAGTTGGTACTGCTTCTGGATTCTTCATGCCTAGAAAGACAGCTGATGCACTTGAAGAGCTCAGGAGTTACAGAGAAATGAGAGACCTTCTTCTTTCCAAGAGTGGGACTCGGATTGTGAACACAGATGAATCTTCTTAAGCATGCTTGAAATATAAAATAGTTGAGGCAGTTGATGCTGACTAAAGAGTAGTACTAAACTACTAATTTGAGTTATACAGAAAAAGCACTTCATTTGGGAAACAAAAAGATCCTATGGATTTGTGTACATATCCTGACTGAATGTTGGCTAGAAACACCAAAGTTATTTTATCACGGCCAAAATACTTCTAATATGCTCTCAATCTTTATAAACATTATAGTTGTGAAATGAGGAACTTGCTTGCCTGGTGTATATGCTAATGACAAAGGTGGGGAAAAAAAGAAAGAAAATGTCACTGGTATTTTGGGAGAAAGGTTGTTGAATTTCATTGTAAAAATGCACGCACGCAACAGGAAACATTGCTTGAAATGTATATTTGGCTTCTCTAAGAAAATCATTTTATGTGATTATTTGTTTATGTATAGGAGGATTAATGTCTTGAAATTATTGCATTTTTTTTTTTTTTTGTAAATAAAATTATTGCATTTTAAGTATAACCGTTTTCCACTCACCATTTAATACCCCTTTTAAAAAAATGAAAGTAGTAGTTTATTTCTTTATGGCTTTAATAGCTCTATTGTTGCTGCAGATCAAAAGATTTGCAGTAACATTTATTTTTATCAGGATTCCGTTTTATATTCTGAAATTTTTTATTATTATTATTATTATTTCAGGATCCGGTTCCGTATACTATTATAAATATGTTTGTTACAACTTTTTTCGTCTGCAGCAATAGGCAATAGCAGAAACGATGAACCCATAACTAGCTCCGTATAGTTTCTTGTTTCTGTTGTTGCTGAAGATGAGAAAAGTTGCAACAAATATATTTACACTAGCATACGAAATCAGATCTTGAAATAATAAAAAAAAAATTCGAGGATACAAAATCGTAGTAGAAATAAGTGTTGATGTATATTTTCTGATCTGCAGAGCCCTATATAAATCCTGTAGTCTTACGGATTAGCACATATCGGTATATATCATAAATGAACGAGATTAAATTGAAATGGTTGAGTGAGTTATTTACGGATTACGGTTCCTAATATATAATAAATGAGGTTTGTATTTATCATTTATCATGACACATAAAGTTTTCTACACACAATATTTTGTGTACTCACATTTTTTGAAAAAAAAAAAAAAACTACGACATGCAAAAAATGAATCTCTATAACATTACACGATCATATTTTCTATAACCTAATTCTTATAAAATTCATAATAAATTTATACGGCGGAAAACCGATAAAGAATTAACAAAAATACAAGGAATTTTTTTATTAAAATAATAGTTAAAGTTTAAAAATTATAATTGAGATAAAAAATTTTTATATAATCTCTGTAACATTACACGCAGAAAAAAGTTGCAGCCGCCATTAACATTTGAAAAAAGGAAAAGACTTTCCGCCATTAACGTGACCTTGTCCTCTGTGGTTCTTCTTCATGAACATGGATTCTTCGACTTGCCCCTTCTGTCATTTATCACTTCCATCCTCTCTGCTCCAATGGTATTTCTTGCTTTCCTTTTTCTTCTTTATTGTTTCCCATTTGATGCATGATGTGTCGCTGTTTGAATTTCAGGCACGCCAACACCCACTTCGACGATGATGATCCAAACTCACCACCTCATTCTCTTCTGGTACACATTTTTCTTTCCCCATCACCAAGTTTTTTCCTTTTTCTTTTTTGGTTTATCTGAGGAAACCAAAACCATTAAAATGAAAATAAAAATTGAATTTTTTTTAAAGAGGTTCGCTCTGTGGATGGTGATGAAAGTAAATTTTACCCTCATAAGCTTACAATGTGACTTTGTCAACAATTTATGCTAAACTCCAATGGTTATTTTTTATTTACCCTTTTTGTTGAAATGCAAGTTTTCACGTTTATTGTCTAAAAGGGATCACTTTGTCATCTGCTTGTCTAGACAAGAAAGACAAATGAAGTACTTGTCATTCAATCTGGAGTTTGTGTTGTGTTGCTTCATATTCTGCAGGGTGAACAAGCAATTAGTGGCTTGCATTTTGATACAACTAGTGGAGATTATAAAAGTTGGAGTGGTGGGACTGGTAGAGATAATGGGGTGTGGAAAATGGATGAAAAGATCTCTTGCTTGGTTGATTTGCAGAGAAGGAGCGAGTTTTACAAGGTTGAAGCGGGTTTGATGTCCTTGTTGAGAAACTGTTTGGAATCTGAAGCTGAAAACTCAAGAAGCATTTTGTCAGGTTATGTTGATCATTTCCAGAGCATTGAGTCTGAGGATGTTGGATGGGGTTGTGGTTGGCGTAACATTCAAATGCTTAGCTCACACTTACTGACACAAAGACCAGAAGCAAGACAAGTAATGTTTGGTGGTTCAGGGTTTGTTCCTGATATCCCATCACTTCAGAGATGGCTTGAGATTGCTTGGGAAAGGGGTTTTGATGCAGCTGGCTCTGAACAATTCAATCATTCTATCTATGGCTCGAAAAAATGGATAGGAAGTACTGAATGTGCTTCCCTTTTGCGTTCTTTTGGTCTCCTGGCAAGGATAGTGGATTTTGGTCCTAAGGAATCTGAATCACTCTATCTATCTGTCCCTGGTTTAAGTGTTGGGGCACAGGAGCTAGTGAGAACTAATAATGGAAGGAAGAGGAAAACACTAGATTTTTATGGACCAATGGATAGATATCTGTCTCGTAATGTTTCTCAAGCAAGTTGTGGCCAGGATGCAAAGTCATGCTCTTCTCTTATCCGGCTTCATGACAATGTGGATAAAGAAAGTGGTAGTGATAGGGTGGTACAATGTACTGCAAAACAAAGTGAGGGTCATCAAGTTCTCATGGACTTCGTGTGGAATTACTTCTCTAATAAAAGCTCGATTCAATTTGGCCACAGACGTGTCATTGTCAGCGAGAAAACGTAAGTGAGGGTGCATTTTAGATACAAATGTTCTAACCAAACAAATGATTGTGTTTCTTATGGTGTTTTAAGTTTTGAATGCTTTCTTGGACAGGCCCTTGTACTTTCAACATGATGGACATTCAAGAACAATAGTTGGAATTCAAGTCAAACATCAACGGACTGGAATTCTGCAATATAATCTCCTAATTCTGGATCCTGCTCATGTAATTTATATGCATGTTAATGTCATTTTTCTTGTTATTTAGATGGCTGTGAGTAATTCACTTTATTTTTTAGTGCTTCTTGAAAGATTGAAACCCAGGTCAAATTAAAAACCTTAACCAACTTTAATTACAACCCACATTATAATCTTTCTGGTAATTGGTTGTATTCTTTGGACTAGTACGAGCTCTACAAGTGAGGATAAGCAATTAGAAGTAGGTTTAGAACTTTAGATATGTTTTCTTCCTACTTCTCTTTGGTATGTGTGTTTGTGTGTAGTTATTAAAAGATGCATGTTGTGTAGTAATGATGGCATGGCATCGTTTCAAATGTTGTGACTTATCATTATAGAGAACGGCTGCTCTAGAAAGATCACTGAGGGAGAAAATTGGATGGCAGAAACTCATAAAAAGAGGAGTGCACACACTGAAGAAGGAACAATACCAGGTTTTACTTCTTTTAACAATTTCCCTTGCACCATTAAATGATGAGGCTTGATGGTATTGTTTCTATTTCAGTTGTGTTATGTTGATCCTGGAATTGCCGGTGAGGAGGAGATGGAAAAACTCAAGACAATTGATAGTGTCTTTCTCGAATTTTAGACAACAATATGGAGGTCTTTGCTACATCAAGGTACCATCTTATATTTCATGTTATATAATTATTTTTCTTGGCATTTTTTGACTATGATTTTATTACAACAGAGAAGAAGTTGGACTGACACAGAAAAAAGTTTTATGATTGAATACTATAAAGTTACAGATGCTGTAGCTGCACAAAACTGGTAACTTTATGTGGTTTCTTGGAAGCTCAGTTAAGTTATACATCATCACTGAAGTATTTTATTCAGTAGCAGCAGAGGGGTTAATCATCAGAGGCAAATTAACTGTATATGACTTAACAATGCTTGTTTCACATTTTACTAAAATGAAACGAAATTTCACATATTTACAGAGGCAAATTAGCGCTTTTGTGGAACTTAGAATGAAATAAATACTTTTGTTCTGGCCACCGTGGTTGGGTTGGGATAGTGATGATTGGCTTACGTAATTTACATCGGACTATAGAGTCAAACCTTAGTTTAACTATCGTAAAAGAAAGGGAAAAAAGTTCTTGTAATCAACGCCTATTTAGTGTTTGCTGGAAGGTAAACTAAAAACATGCTTTTTAGTGGGAAACATTTATGATTTTACATATTTTCACTCTTTTAAAGTGAGTGGCCAACATATTTGGAAATTAAGGAAATGGATCATGTGAGAGGATATTAATTATCAATAAATAAAACTCATGGTGATGATTTTATAATTTTTTATCCTAATATTTTTTTGATCATCCTTTATAATGATTTATTCACTCTTGTATGGTTAAGATTATATTAAATAAAACATGAGAGGATTTACTCAGAAATTAACGTATAAAATCAATGCCGTTAAACTTGACCTAGTTGAGGTATTGCATCATTGGTTCAACCAGTGAGTTATTGGTTCAACTAATGAGTCACTAGTTGAACTGTATAATTCAATAAGTATATGCAAATCTATAATTTATATTAAAAAAATTATAATCATACTCAAATACATGTAAAAAATGATATCAGTTTCAAATATTCTAATATGAAAAATAATAAATCATACAACATTGTCCAACAAACAAAGAAACACACAATATTTGACCTGTTTTCAAACATTTAACATCTATTATAAGTGAAATTCAGATGAAATTTTAACAATTCATTCATTCATCCTATTAATTATAATTTTATCTTATTTTATAAGCTTCTTAAAAAAAATTAAAAAAATGCCTCAAATGATATTCCTAAATTTATAAGCTTTTTATTGATTTTTTTAAACTTGTATGAATTGGCCAGGTGTACGGTTGAACCAGCTGGGTGATTGATTTTCAATAAAATTGACCGGATTTCACTTGTTCTAGTACTTGGCGATCCATTGGTTCACTCGAACCATGATCCATTGGTTCACTCGAATCGCTTATATGACTGATTTATTAATTTTTTGGTCGATTTGATCGGACTATTTTGGATTTTTGAACATTCTATGAAATTATAATTATTAATTAAAAATCTATATTTTAATAACTTTATAATTTATTATACATATATGATATATGGGTTATGTTTATCTCATTTTACATGAGATAAACAACTTTCCTATACACACAAAAAGGAGTTGGGTCCCACTATTTTTTTTTTCTCTTACCTGTGGGTCTCACTTATACTTTTATTTCTACAACATGAGGTAATTTTTTTCTTACAACATAAAAAAAATATATCCCATGATATATATATTATTTTAATTCGAATTATTAATTTATACACGCCAATTTGGAGTTAAGAACGTGCAGTTGGTGACAGCTGTAACATCAACATCATCGGTCTGAAATCACATCAAAATCAAGATAAGAATTTGTCTCAATCTGAATTATCTCATCCAACGGCCCACACTTGAGGATCTGGATCGTACAATAGTCAGTTATGTCAACTTTATTTAAATATGTGAGAAGGAGCTTCGCGTGAACCCCACTTTAAGCTTATTTTATTTCTTGTTCGAGCCGTCAAATTTTCAATAAATTTATGTTTTAAGGATGCTTGTTGGGATTTTTTTGTTATGCTTTTGGACAACAAGGATATTGATATCTAGTGATTAAGACATATTTTGTTCGACAATATACCTTCTCATGTTTTGTTTTAATCATTTAAAACCCTTTAATGTTTTATTGGTTGATTAATGATCAGTAATTAAATTTATTTTTTCCTTTTTGTTTTATATGTTTGTCAATATATATATATTTATATATATTTTGTAAAGAGTTTGTGAATATTTTGTGACTGTTAATATGTTAACGAATGATTGAAATTTTTTACACAATTTTAAAATTACTAACTTACAGACGTAATTAACATAAACTAAAAAAATAAATAATAAGAATAAATACAGAATAAAATAAATTAAATTAAGAAATAAATAATAAGAATAAATATAGAATAAAATCAGCTTAAACTAAGAAAAAAATAATAAATGCAGAATAAAATCAGAACTATATGTGTTTACCAAAAAAAAATAAAAAAATCAGAACTATATGTGACAATCGTCATACTTAAAAAATAGTGTAGAACATGGGAGGTGAGTAGTTGGTGTAAGATTATGTGTTTAATTCTCCTGAGTATCACTTTTAAAAAGAATTTAAAGTTTTAATCTTGCATCCGCCTCGAATCATACAAGTCGCCATCAATTGAAATATTAAAAAAAAGATAAATATTTTTTTTAGTCTCTAATAAAAAATACGGTCCTCACCTTAATCTCTTACAAAAAATAAATCTGAAGGTCTCTAAGAATTTTAAAGTGCATCTATTTAGTTGAAATCATAGTCTCTCGTAAATTCAAAAAAAATACACACTAATTTTTTTTTTAACGGATTAAGGCGAGATCATATATTTTTGTTAGGATTCAAAAATATATTTACTTTTTTGTTTTAAAAAAAAAAAGGAGTGTAGGAAAATCACGGTTAATAAATGACTTAGATTTTTAGTTAGAACAGGATGAGATATGCGTTAATCATAAGTGAGAAAAACGTGGTGGTTGAATTTTAGCATTATATGTGAAGACAAGGTCAACAAGAACAATAAACCCCACAAAACACCACACCTTAGTTTCTTCCCTTTTTGTCTCTATACTTCTGGGCAAGACAACTTCAATGGAGCAAGTGCACCATCAATGGATAGTGCATAATCATGAAGAAGAAGAAGAAGAAGAAGAAGAAGAAGTGGAAGATGCTGCTTTGAAAACAAGGCAATCTCTGCCACATAGCAAGGATAATCTTGTTACAGGTGTGGTAGTATCATCTTCTCCTATTGGCAATGGCGGTGGGCTTAGTGATGGAGTTTGCTCGGTGGTCACCAACCCAGATAGATCTATTCTTCAGAAAGAGGAAGAAGTTACGGAGATAGAAAATGTTGGTGAAAATGACAACCATTTTGATGATGATAAAGTTGATTATGCAGCTGTTGGGCTTGGACTAGTAGCAGAATTTGTTGGAGCAGCAACTAATGGAGAAGCTATAACTGGTCCTGCTGGTGCTACTTTTGGTGCTGTTGTATCTCAGAATAAGAACAGTGTTTACTTTGACAAGCCACAAGGTACCACACTACCTCTCTCTTGTTCTTCTTTTTATTCAGTACTCTTTGGCTTCATAATCTGTTAGATAAAAAATTTCAGGAAATCACTGTTTTTATGTGTTTGTTATTGCATCGCTCTCATTACCAATGCTTTTATTCGAATTAAGTTCTCTAGTGTAGTGTAAATTGTTATAAGCATTAGTCCTAGTTTAAATTTTCTCAATGTTTTCGAGTTGTTGGTTAACATTAGTCTGTGTGTATGAGTAGTTGAAGACAGTACTCAATCCATATTGGGGTTCCAGACTTCAACTTGTCTTTCTTAGCTTGTCTCATCATGAGTACTGCTAACTTGTGAGCAAAGATAATCTCCATTGACCATTGTAGATTAGTTATTTGGATTTAACCAAATAATATGACAAATGTTCTGCTTATGAGTTATGACATCTCTTGGACTGAAATCATCTTCATTTATCAAATTTCTGGGAGTTAGTTTTCCTTTTCTGATGTTTAGTAAACATGCCGTCACTTTTTTATGCGTGAAGGAATGTGGAAATGTCACCACTGCACATGGACCAAACGATTTGACAGTCCTTGGACTGTGCCCATTTGGAATCTTAAGGGGTACCCTGACTTGCTGATGAATGTCAAAACTATGATTCAACATGGACCATGTTTTGTTTGTGAAACTAAAGGTCAGTTGACGCCAAGATTTCTAGAACGCACATTAGCAGTACTGACCAGCGTAATTGAATAGCCTTTCAGTGGGATGGATTGTCCATATTGATTTATGAGGACTTGAAGTAACTTTTATCGTAGATTTGCTGGATGCAATTCTAACAGTTAATTTAACTTTGTCAGCTTTAAAATCTTATTGTTGTTAGAATGTCTATATGGAAACATGTTCAATGTTTTATAAATGCAAATTTTGACATTGTTTTGGAGATGCTTAGATGCATGGTGATTTCTATTTAATTATTTTAATTATTCTTTTGGTTGGCGCGACCAATGGTAGCAATGAAATTCCTATAACAGTAGCTATTTTTCAGTCACTTTGGTATTCTTTCACCATCTCAGTCTATGATTTTAGTAGAAATATGTATAATATCTGCTCTGTATAGTATGGGGGTAACCTATTATGGGCATATCTTTGAAACTCATTTTGGACATCTATAATTATGTGATCCTAATTTCTCTTTTCCATGAACGTTCTTATGTGGCAATTTATTATTGAAATGGTTATCTGTGCCATTCTTGCAGACAATGAAGTTAATGGACTTGAGGAAGATCAAACTGTTGATGCTGCCAGGTCTTTCCGTCCAACAAATCCTGGGGAGAGAGAATTTGATGTACAAGAAGAAAATTCAGTTATTCTAAATCGTATATGCAGTGAAGTCAACAATCAATGTATGAAAACTGTGGACGACAAAGTTCCTTCAAATTCAGAATTATCTCCTTTACGTAATTCATCTGACACACAAGCTATGAATGCGATGAATTTTCACTCTGAAACTAGTACAAAGGAAGATCTTAACTTGATAGAAGAAATTGACCAGCAACTGAAAGATTTGGATGTTGAGGCAGTATTGGCGAAACAAGAGACGCATGACTTGTTCTGTCCTAATTGCAATTCTTGCATTACTAAAAGGGTTATCCTCAAGAAAAGAAAAAGGAGTATTCATAATGTAGACAACAAAGCAAAGCGTGATAAGTTGGACACTATAGTTATCTCCCAGCTGGTTGATAGTTCTGCTCATGAAGCCAACCAAGGTGATCATGCAAATGCAACTTCTGACATTGTTAGTCTAGAGCCACCTGCTCCAGAAAGAGAACCAGAAGTGTTCAGATGCTTATCATGCTTCAGCTTCTTTATTCCTAGTGGTAAGTGGATTACCTTTCCTGAGAAGAAAAGCGTAGTGTGGTCTTTGATTTTGGGGAAATAATAACTGGAGGGAATATGAACTTCCTTAGATTTAGTGACTTAAAGCAGCAATTTCAAGGAAGCTTTATCATTAACTTAAAGGTATAAAATATGCCATTTAAAAAAGATCTGATTATGAATATTGAAAAAGCATATGTTTCCTGAGATGGTTGAAGGTTATTGTCAAGTACCAACTCAAACAATAGCTTAAGCTATTAGGTGAATGCTTAAGAATGGTTTTACATCTCTAACGATTTTCATCCTACAATTTGTGCATAAATTACTTTTGTATAGACTAGAAGTATTCTTATGACATATCTTAACAGATATGTGATGATTATGTGCTTGTCATCTATGTGAACTTAATAATCTTGTTGATTTGGACAGGTAAAGGTTTTAATCTGTTCCGTAAATTTGGTGGTGCTAGAGAGCATGAAACTTCACAAAATCCTTCGGGAGTCTCTGCAGGCAATTTGCAAAATCCTTCAAATCTACCAAGCACCAATGCGAATTGGTTCTTCTCTGTATTTACTTCAAATAAGGGGAAAACAGCTAGTAAGGAAGTATTTTTTTTTTTTAATTATCATTACATAGGTACTTCTAAGTGAAGTTGCTTTCACACTGATGCTTATTTGAAGATGGGCCCCGCCAACCTAATTGTGCCACTTTTATCTTTGTTTTGGAGTTTCAATTCATATCTTGTTTGAGGTCTGCAACTATAGTTACTATAGTATTTTGTCACTGTCATCTTTTAAAATATTTTTATAATGGAACATAAATAACTTCCTTGCCTTGAGACATTTTTAAATATTGATTCAAATGTGATATTCGACCTGGTATAACTTCAAAAGTTGTTTCATGAAGCATTTCAAATTCTCTATACTCCTTTTGGTTTACTTCCCTGTTGTATCTCCAATTAATAGAATTTCTCGTATTTTCCTTTCCAACACTTTCTTGAGCAGTTGTGCCATATGAAATGTAAACGGACAAATATTAGAAATCATGCATCTTGCTTGCTGTGAATTTCACTCAAGACAGAAACATTTTGTTTTGAAATCTTTCTGCCTCCAATTTAATTGTCTGTTTTATTGATATATTTGTGTAGGTGGTGCTTCCCTAGAACATTCTACAACTGATCCTGCTAAGCAGCAGCATCACTCACCATCAATTACTTCAAATATGATAACCTCCCCTGAAATTGGTCATGCAGAAGGTTCGCTTGCTGATACAGCTCTAGTTGAAAATGTAAAGTCTACACCAGATATTAACCATGGAAATGGAGGGACGAGTTATCAGATTTCCTCAACAGTGAAGTCAGTAAAGATTGAATCGTGGATAGAAAATGGCATTAAATCCCATATTACATCAGGTAATGAGCCTTAGGCTGACCAAAACTGCTTTGACTCATTGTTTAGAATGATTTGTCATCTATACAATCCTGTACAAAATGTGCTGGTTATAGGAACAATTACTGACTGGAAACCTGAGGACCAATGAGGGGGAGAAAAAGAATGATTCATTGGATATAATAAACACTATTTTATGCTTGAGTTTTGAAGATAATAATTCCTTGAGTGTTTGTTTTCATATTAGTTCTTTCAAAACAGGATCTAGCAAAATTTATATATGTACACAATTGTGCATTATGAATTTGGCAATATAAATATCCTATCTGTGAGGAAAGGTCATTCCTTATTCATAAAGAAGGTGAAACATCACTGGCTCATTCATTTGAAGGCTAGTTACTTTTAAATAAAAAATGATAAACAAAAATAATGCCAAGTCTTAGGGTTATGTGCTAGCAACTATTTTTCCTTTTATTTTAGTGAAATTAATATTATAACATTCCCAAACCTGCATAATTGTGTTTCGGTTTCTTATTGAATTATGCATGTCTACCTTTAAACTTGTACAAAAGCTTCTTGCCCAGCCCTCCAAGATAGAAGAAAATATGAAACATTTGTACACTTATTAATTATACAAAATGTAAATTTTCAAACTCTCATATTATTTATTCCATTGATTCATTTCTTGTTCAATGTGGTAGCGCTCACTTCACTAAATCACTATGAAGCAGATAATGTTGAAGATATGACCTCAAAGAGCTTTTCTGATGAGATGGTATCCAAGCATGAGAGGGTTCAATTAGCAACTGCTGCTATTACTGAAACACTTGTTAATGCCGGAGAAACTTCAAAAGATGCCATTCTGAATCCCCCTGAATTTCTGGTTCCTACAACTTTAGGATCTCCAATCCTTGAGAAGTCACAGAAAGATGTTGACAAGACACCTGAAATTATTGAGAATGGCTATTCCTCTTTGAGACAAGGAGCACAATCAGCAGTTCAATCATTTGGCAGTGCAATACTTGCAAGTGGTGTAGCTAGTAACAAACAAAGTTCCGAAATAGATGTTACATTTCCATCAAAACTAGATTTTCCACTTAGTGAGAAAGTGAAAAGGGATATTGATGAGGAAATAAATCCTTCTGTCATTAAAAAAAATAAAGGTATGTGCATGAAATAAATATCATCAGTTAATAATCATTTCACACTAATTCTTGCTCACCTGTATCACTTGCAGAGTTTTTGTCACTAAAAATCTTACAGGTTTGCTTTTTGTGTAACAACCATAGTTATTATTATGGTGCAGGTGGTGATGTGATAGTTATTGTTGAGGGAGAAGCATTTAAATCCACAGCATCTCAGACAGCAGATAATGTTCAACTTGAAGGTGCTATTATGACAGAGTCACATACTCAAGTATATATTGGTGAACCACCAAGAGATGAAATTGGAGAACCCCGACAATGGGAAATACTTAAAAGCATCGTGTATGGTGGTTTAATTGAGTCAATCACAAGTCTAGGAATTGTGTCATCTGCAGCTAGTTCTGGTGCTACCCCATGTAATCTTTCTTTCTCTCTCTCTCCTTGGTTGAAGGAGGCCCTTTTTGTCTAATAACCAAAGTTATTATTTATATTACATGACAGAAGTTGTAGGTAACCATGATTTATACTAAAGTCGTGATCCATAGGACTCATGCAATTCGTGGATATATACCAACACTTCCATTTCATATATATATCACTTTTAAGAATTAGACAGGTTTACTTTGTACAAGCATTTTTTTTATTTATTTTTTTCAGAGAATTCAGTGAAAACCAGTTATGACTAGTGTTGAGATATATAATCTCACATTGGTTGTATGAGCAACTAATGTGGAGTTTATAAGGCCTTGGGCACTCCCACCCTTTGAGCTAGCTTTTGGGGTGGTGTATCCCAAGGTTCTTTACATGGTATCAGAGCCTCGTGTTCCGGATTCGATCCTCGCTGAGTTTTATTGCAAATTTTGATTTCATATTTTAAAAGCTGAAAATTTGGTTGGTGACAATGAGTTAATTTTCTGATCTTGTGTCTATTGCAGTGAATATTATAGCATTGGGATTTGCAAATCTTGTTGGTGGACTTTTCATCCTTGGTCATAATGTGAGTGGGCTTCTGATCATTCTCATAATTACAATTGTATCATATTGTCTCTCTCTGCCATTTTTTTTTCCCACTCAGGTAGTCTTTTTAATAAAAGGAGTACTGTATTATGTCTTTTAAAATTAAATTTTTTATGTCAAATGTTATTTCCTTCATCTCTAGCCAAACATTTTTTTGTTTTAATCTTTTTTCCCAGCTTAATGAATTGAAAAAGGGTCACACTGTTGGGGATCAACTGCAAATGAATGTGCAAGATCGGTATCAAGAACAACTAGGACGCAGAGAAAACTTCTTGCTTCATGCTGTTGTAGCAGTTTTATCATTCCTGATATTTGGTTCTGTTCCCCTCCTTATCTACGGCCTCTTGATTAGTAAGAATTACTATGATGAAGTTAAGCTTGCGGTAGTGGCAGCCACTTCTATTGTATGTATCATTCTGCTTGCTATTGGGAAAGTTTACACAACAAGACCACCCAAATCCTATATTAAAACTGTATTATTCTATGTTACATTGTCACTTGCAACCTCTGGAGTCTCTTACATAGCAGGCAACCTAATCAAGGATCTCCTAGACAAACTCAGCAGCAACTCAGAGTCTGGTTTTGCTATTACCATGCCCATTTCAGACACTAACATGGAGTCAGCATGGATGTCTTACTGAAGCAGTAGGGAGGAGTAGGAACTTCTAAAGGAGCTTAAGCTTCTGATGGTAATCTCAAAGGTAGTAAGTTCCTAGAGGAACTTTATTAGAATAAATATATTTTTATGGTAATACATGAAAGTTCAAGGACACTTTTTCATTTTTTGTTTCCATTTTATTATGTCCTGTTTTCTTGGATTCCTGTATTCCATCTTTGTTCGAAGTTTTGATTTTTCGTATTTATATGTTTTTTCATCAGTTTTTCGATTCAATTTTTTTAGATTTTATTATATTGGATCGCTCTATAAACATCTCGAAGTATATTTACTATTGAATTTTATTGGGTTAATATCATGATAAACTTGAAATTAAATGAAAGATGGATATACTTTTACTTATTCATTTTAAAAATAATTTTACTTCAAATTATATATACATGTCTCTTTTTCCTTTTTGGTCAGTGTGTTATATATATTTTTTATTCTATTTTTTAGGGTGAATTATGCTATATACATGTTAATTTGTGTAATTCTCGCCAAGGTTTGATTTTGGGTTTTGTGCTTCTGCTTCTCACATGTACATTTTCATCGTCAAAATTTGAATCTACTTATATATTGTCGGTGATTTACGTGCGTTAACCGCGTGCCCATGTCCCTCAGTAAAACAAGTGCATGAACTTCCCTCTCCCCCTCTCCCTATTTTTTTCATTTTATTTTCTCCCTGATGAACCTTTACGAACATTAAATACAAAGAATCATGACTTAATTTACATCTAATCTTAATTTGCATGAAAGCACAAGGATTAGATCTTACATCTGAATCACATATCAGGTTTTAGGTGTAATTTTAAAAATTAAAAACAACTTAAGAGATTCCCGTGTGCAAGTGCATATGACAAGGGCAAGTAATTGGTGATACGAGTAAAATAGTTTTTTTAATAATTGGATTTACTTTGATACTCTATCTAAAAAAGAGAGCAGCCGCATTTTTTTTAAGTTAAATACTTTATAACATGTTATAAATTAAATAATTATAAACTTACAAAAATTTCTGACAGAGCGATAAATTTTTTAAAAAATCAATAGTATTTTTTTTTTCTTTGAAATACAAACCCTTCAATTAAGTACTTTACAAATAAACTTAAAACTTAAATTAAAATTATAATGAACTTTATATTAAATTAAAACCAATTACAAACTTGTTCACTTTAAAAATAAACCAACTTGAAAAAAGAATTGTACTTTTCTCATACTAGGCTAAGAAAGAAGCATTAGAAAAAGTTGGGATAGAAAGCAAAAGTCAATTGATTGAAGTACCAGCAATAGGCAAATCATAAAGCTAACACACTACTCAACAATGATTGTTTTTGTTCTTATACCTCAACATTGAGGCTCTAGCAATCCATATGTGAGAGCAAACAGATCAATACACTGCATGCCATCACGCTGCAAGGAGTCAAAAGAAAGAAACAGGCAGAGAAGAGCGAACAGTAATTATATATTTCACTCCATTGAGGAGCCTCCATAAATGTAACATCCATTACAACATAAACAACATCTGGTGAGTTAACAGCATACAGTATCACCTAACACAGATTTGTTGCCACCTGTGGATTAAACTTGCCTAAGACATATATGAAAAGAAAAAAAGGAATGATTCAAGACCAATTAATGGTTTCCGGTTCCGAAAGTTCTCATAGCAGGTGAGGACTATCACCGCAGCCATGGAGAAAAACAAATAAGAAAAAACATGGCAACAATAAATTCAGCAATACATCAGTTAGACCAGACATGAAGCAGACCGAGCCTATTGCCCGTATAGATCTCGTTGCGTTCTTCATCATAGAAGAGAGCAGTAATGTCTTCCAAGGCTTCTGCAACCGTGCTAGTAATTCTAGAGGCACGTTTTACCTTCTTTGCATTACACTTGCTGCTTGAACAATCGTCACCGCAACTGCATTCATTCACAAAGCTATTACTCGCTCTTATCTTTGCAAGACACTTGCCAGTTAAAATGTTGCTGACATTGATGGATCCCACTGCATCAAAGAAGCAAAATTTGTGTGTTCAGGAAGGAGGAAATGAAAGACATTTGGTGAAATCTGTGTGAGTAAACTACGCAACAGAGATTAGATTATATAAACAAAACTGCACTAAATACGAATATCATGGAATATTTTATGATATGCTATCCTGTTTTACATTTCAGCTTATCAGACCGTACATGTAAAACACTAACATAAATCAGCTTTCCAGTTCAATGATTAAACAACACCTTTCAAAATATTGATCCCACCGAACATTCGATCACACAAAGTGCATTTAAAAGAAAGAGGAAACAAAGGAAAAATAATTGAAATAAAGAAGTTTGTGTGTGTGTGTTTTTTTTTTTTGGGGGGGGTGGGGGGATAAAAAAGAAGAAAAGTACCATTTCCTACGGACAATGGATCATCAGAATCAGCCTTGCAGTATGATATGATGAGATCCTGGTCACTGGTTATATAAATGTTGTTTGTATTGCAGTCCGGATGCCACAAGAGATGATCCTCAAAAGAAGTTACAAGTTCTCCACGAAAGTTCCACACAGCCACAGTTCGATTTCGGAATGTCAGGAATAATTGGTTCTCATATAGAAATATAAATGCAGATGGCGTCATAAATTCACTTCTGCTAACTTCTGTGAGCTCAAAAGTTCTCACCTAATGTTAAATAAAAGTCAGATATATGGATGTATAACTCTCATGTTGGAATGGGAACAATCTATAACTCTCATGTATAAATGGGAAAATTACTTACGTCAAGAATTTGGAGGTTCTCATTTTCCTGTTTGACAAGAAGTTTTTCATTGAACTGTTCAATAAAATCCACCTTCTTATTCCGATGAAGAAGATGGTTGAATGATTTCAAAACAGTACCATCTTCTATTGAGAGGATTTTGAGGGGGACATGGCTACTTGTTTTATTAAAAATCAACAGCATGATCCCCGGACTGATTAAAAAACAAAATCATGAAACAAAGAGAAAAGTAGGATAAGTTAATCTAAGGCCAGAAAAAAAAACTAGAGAAAGAAGAAAATTCAATGATATCAAGAACTAAAAGGTTATGTGATATATAATCTAAAAAATTTGTACATAGCCATAGACCACATATCCATGGGGTTGTATTGTATATTTCAAACTAAAATTCACAAACACAAAAAGGAAAATTACCTTATCTTAATCTCTTGTACATTTTTATCTGAAATGGAGTATAACATTGAATAGTTTTTCAGGTCAAACACCTTGTATATGCTATAGAGGAAAAGAAAAGAAAATATAAGTATCACAATCAAGAAGCCTTGAAATATTATATAATTATATCTCCACACCATAGTATCAGAACAATAAAATATTTACCTATCCTGCGCAGAGTATGTGAGTACCTTCCCATTTACATCATCAAACTCTACAAAGCCAGGCCACTTCAATGACTCAGATTCAAAAAGAGCAAAGCCAGCTTCTGGTTGAATCCTCTTTATATATCTGGAAAACAGAGATATTCTAGCATAGAACACAACAGCACAAAATTGCACAGGCATCTGTTGCTATCTACTGCTTTTCTTTTAGTCTCTCTCAATTTGTGTGTTTGTGTGCCTGATTTTTTTTTTTTTTCTATGTCTTTCTTTTCTTGAGCATGAAAATCAAGGGTGGGAGTTAAAAAATAGAGAGCTATACTTACTCAATCCTGGTGCTTCTGCATTTCAAAGAACTAAAACTGTCCGAAGCATAGACAGAAACTGTGATAAGTGAGTCATTATTTTTATTATAAAACAAACTTCTTATAATTTCATCCGGACTGACATTCAAGAAGCATATCCTTTCATTGCTCTCTGCAGCAAACAAGTGAAACATGTAACAAAAATGTCATGTATCTACTTTTATGTTACAGTAGAATTGAACAGCATCAGAAACAATAATATAAAAAATATAAATACAGTCACCAGTTAGCAGTACTACCTCGGCTAAATGCTGCACAAACACCAGATTGTGCAAGAGCAAAAACAATGTCACGTGATGCTACAATCTCGATAATCTTTGACCTCTTTCTCAGAAATGGTAATACAACAGCCGAAGGACCTTTTGGATCAAGTGAATCATACTCTTCCTATAAATAGATACATCAGACATAATCACAAGGAGAGAGGAAAATGGATATAATAAAGCAAGGTACACGTCTCACTAGTGAAAACATGAGACACAGAAGATTTCTCAGCATCCAATGATTTAAATTAGAGTAGTTTCAAATGTTGTACTACACAAGTGTGTGGGGAATTGTTAAAAACAAAATAGCACTTATTGAGTTGTCAAATATTCTACTACATACTCCTCTTGATCCCTCGACAATGACCACATCATAACCTCAGACAAATTCACACTAAGCAATCCCAGTTCCACATTAAGCTAATTTTCTATTCCCGCTGCCTCTTATGTGGAATGCCTGTTGTTTTATGCTAATGTATCAAGGTACAAGCATGTAGCAGGCATAGATTAGTCCTCAACATCAACAAAATCATCATATACAGTTAGACTATATACAAAGAGTGTTACTGAAGCCTTTACAAGCAAGAGAACTCATAATTCAAGCAGCAACTTGAGAGTATAGTTTCTGCAAGGGCAACCTGATAAATCTTTATCAAAAGTACGGAGTCTTCATACTAAACTATTGAATTGTTCTGTATCAAACAAATTCAAACAAAAACAGAATGCTTCAGTCCATGAATAACTAGCATGCCTTTTGTTTCATGTTATGTTAATAACAAAGAAAACCAGATTCCGCTGGTTTGTTTGTATTCCATGATTGAAATGCACAGCGCTGGTCATTGAAATTTTAGCAAAAGAGTATCCCTTGAGCATCAACAAAAATGAAATATTAAGGGAAAAGAGGAAACCAATGGAGGGAAATAATATCATGGGTTTTGTTGACACATATTATAGGTGAAAATCTATTGGGAAAATTGAGGGAGGAGAAACATTCATGGATTAGGATTAGGGTTTGTAGCGTTCACAAATCCTCTGTTTTCTGAATTCGCTAGTTTAGGGTTATGGCTTTTAGCATTTTAAAAAATGTTCAAGAGAATCATGAAGGGAAGTCTAAGCCAAACAATGGATCCACCTAAGGGTATGGTCCCACCTGGAACACCCACATCAATCTGGTGGTGGGTGAAACTTAAACACCTAATTTCAAAGAATTAACACATTGACAAATACACAACAGAATTACATGACCAATGTCAGAATGAAAATTAGAAAATAAACAACCTGCAATCGGATGTTGCGAAACCTTTCTTGAGCTTCGGTGAGGCTGAAGCCACGATGACTTTTGGAGCTGATTTCGCGCCTCTGAAGCTTCTTCACGCTGTTGATAAAGCCACCAAAGATGCCTCCTCGACGCGGCCTCCTCTTGGCCAACACTCTCCGGCCACAGCATGGTCTTGGACTCACTGTAATCCTCCTCCCACCGCCTTCCATAATGAAGGAGCTACGAGTACTCTCTGCCACCACTCAGACTCAATGAAGGGTACACACTACACTGGAAGCTGTGTATTTATTTTCAGTTTTCTTAGGATTCGAGCGTTTCAAATTTGGTAGAGGAAATTGGGAATAAAAAAAGTGAAAATTGGAGAGGCGAGAGAGCAACATATAGTGAGGTGTGAGGGACATTAATTTGAAAAAGTGGCGTGCTGTGCTGTACACTCAGACTTGTTTGCATGTGTACTGTGTGACCTTCAGGGTCAACCTCTCAACCCAGGCTCATTTTAAGGTAACGGACCATTGTGCCTTTTATTTAAAAAAAATTCACTTTCTCCCTTCCTACATCGAATATAATTTATAATTGGAGAATTATCTACTGTATACATAAAAAAGTGGACGAAGTCTATTTATTTTTTCTCAAAGTACCCGTTGTTTCAATGAGCGATAGTCTTTGAGGTCATACTTCGAGGATATGGTGATCGAAAGAGGTTGAAAGGAATACCCTTTAGGTTATACCAAAAAAATAAAAAAGTAGATGAGACTCACTTATCTTTTCTCGGTCTTCTCCTTAATGGATCTCATTCGCTATTATATATGTACATAAGAATGAAATTATATTCCTTTTTAAATAATAGAGTAGATAGTCTTTTGGTTCCCTAACAAAAAACATGATCCCCACTTTAGTCCCTTACAAAAAAAAAATAGTCTCAAGGTCCCTAAGAAATTCAAAATGGACTCATTTAGTTGAAATCGTGGTCCCTCACAAATTCAAAAAAGACTCACATTAGTCCCTCAAAAATACTAAAATGGATCCACTTTGAATTTTAATAGTGATCAAGCGACTATTTTTTTTGTAAGGGACTAAAGAGGGGATCATGTTTTTTTGTTAGGGACCCAAAAGCGTATTTACTCATAATAGTATATCATTTTGCTCTTGTTTGCCAATATTGACCACGAATTGCTCAAGTAAAAGACTGGGACACCTACTCGAGTAAATCAAGCAGGTGGACAACTCAAATTTGGATATACGAATATTTTTTATTCAAATCAATTTCTAATGTCTTGTATATGTATAATTATAATTGAACTTGTGACAGGTGTTTGAGGGTCCTTTATAATTGAGGGCAATCCCGATTAAATTTAAGGTGCCAAAATATATATTTTTGTTGATTTTCGATATGACTTGTTAAGTTGGATTTATTTTTTTATTAATCCATACTTATTATTATATTATTATATCATGCATACACATATTTGGACTTTATATATAGGTTCGAGGGTCCAAAACAATTGAGAATAATTTTATCCAAGCTCTTTATACCCCAAAATAAGTTTACTAAACTAAGTTTTATGTACATATTTATGTTCATGTGACATTGCTTTTAAAGATTTATACTTATTTACTTTATTATTCCCAAAATTCATGAAGGAAGCATTTTTTTGAAAAGAATTTTTTTATCAAATCCTTTTCGACAACTGAGTCAATAGTTATTTTCTTCCAAAGTTTACACCATTTTAGGGTATAAAGAGCTTGGATGGAGATTTTCTTAATTGTTTAGGACCCACAAACACTCATCTTAAGTCCATTTATACATGTATAAGACATTAGAACTTGATTTGAATCAAAAATATTGGATCCAAATTTGAGTTGTTGTAATATGTCGAGCGCTGACGACGGCGGTGAGTCATCGCCAGTACAAAAGGGCACAGACAAGGAACAACTCCTGACAGGCTTCCAGCGAGGGGTTACATGAATTAATCGAATCGACACCTGAAAGAGAGAGATTCCAAAGACTGTGCAGGTATGAGACTGCACAGTTGGGGATAACTTATAAGAATTAATTGGTACTACCAATATTAACAAGATGCATCTACTTTTCGGTAGCCCGAAACGGAAGAACTCTATAATTAAGCGTGCTTGATTTAAGTTTTCCCAGGAAGTGTGCAAGTGAGGAAAAAGCACACTGAAAAGTCTCGTGTTAGTATGTGGGGATAGTCATTGATTCTTGAAGCAGTCGGACATTACAGTTATCCACTTACTTGAGTTACTCGAGTAAGATATTTACTCGAGCTGGCCTAGTTACTCTAGTAACTTGCGATCAATGTGGTCAAACAAGAGCATATTGATATATTAGTTAAAAAAAGTGATAAAAAAATTAAATCAAGGGCACAATGGTTAATCACCCTAAAATCGCCTTGGTTAAGAGGTTGACAATGAAAGTCACATAGTAGACGTGCAAACAAGTCTGATTATACATCACAACATGCCACTTGGGATAAATGCATAAGCTGATAAGTGCAGAATTTAAATTCAAATTACATGCATCACGAAATTTTCTCAAGATAAGGATGAGATAAGGTTGTTTTGAAGATAAACTCTTAATTTAAATGAAGATAACACCTTATCCTCATCCAAATCAGCCACGAAGATTAGAATAACAAGCATTCTTATCAAATCATATCAGAAGATTTAGCTACAGCACTGAAATTTTGAATTCAAGCTCAAACTTGGAGCCCAAGTTACCTAAGTCTATAAATACAAGAGCTCATGAAGGCATAATGAAAAAATGAGCGATCATCTCCATACACAAAAAGCTCTTGGACATTTTTAGAGGTCACACTCCACCATATTTCATCCTCACTAATCGAGAGACGGTGGAGGGGTTCAAGCCTGAGAGGGAAGAACCCTATAAAGATTCTTGGAGGAAGGAGAGCTGCTAGAGCATCGCTGGAGTAGAATTGTGCCCAAAGTCTTAGGATAGCCTGTTCTAGTGTTCTTTTATGTTTCTCCATGGATTTCTTCTTCTCTGTTCTCTTTTATTTTACCTTGAGCTAAACATTTTCGTAGGTTGGGTGATAGAGTACCTATGTTGTAACAATGTAATGGAGGCCTAAACTTTGCATATATGAATGTCTAATTAGTTATTCAATGAGTATGCTTTGTTATATTCATGTGGGCATGCCAAGAGGTACATGTATGGTTTTGAGGATGTTGTGACCGAGAGGTTTCCAAACTCAAACCCTTGTTGAGTAGTGTGGATTAACTAAGTTAAAGATAACTTAATTAAGTATTTCCAAAAAAAAAAAAAAAAGATAACTTAATTAAGATGAAGGTAGAGAGATCATTCACATCACATAGCCTTAGAACTTGTGCTTCATTGAATTCATTAGTTAATTATTGCATAGAGATATGAGGGTTAAGTGTTGGGTATATATGTAAGGTTGACGAGAGTCCCTACATGAAATAGTGCTCGACTACTAGTCAAACATTGATAGAGCATTATTATAATATCATTGCATCATTGCAATATCAGGGAAATTGATCCTAACCTATATCTCACATCCATCACTAAAATCAATTAGTTTAGTTTGTTGTTTTTATTAGTTTAATTATTAGTTTTAGTTTACTTGTCTCTTATTTTACAAAATCCACCATAAAGTTCATTCATTTCCTTTATTTCTTTGCTTGAATAATCACGATTTATAAGGGTGTGCATGACAACCTTCCCGGAATCAATTCTTTTTTAATTTTTGTTTCCGAGAACAGAAATGGATAGGAAACTCGTTTGGCAAAATCGATTTATTTTTTTTGTTTCCGGGATAAACCGGTTTAATTTTTGTGCTGGGGAACAGAAAAAAGAATCAAAAAAATTTTGCTTTTTTGTTCCCGGGCTCAAAATGAGAAACACTTATCTCTCTCAATTACTCTCCACCTCTACCATCACCACCACCACCACCACCACCATCATCATCCCGACACGACTGTCGCCACCATCGTCGCTGCCGCCATCGTACGACTAGTGCCGCCGTCACCACCTCTCACCACCACGATGTCACCGCCACCATTACCACCACCTCCACCCATCACTACCACCATGCCACCACCACCACCACTATCACTGCCACCGTCACCACCGCCATCAACCACCACCACCACCACCATCGCAACCATTGTCGTCGCCGCCACCATCGCCATCACACGCCAGTGCCACCACCCTCATCGCCATCACTACCACCACCACAATGCCACCACTACCATCACCACCACTGTCACTAACCACCACTACCATTGCCGCAACCACTACCATCTTCACAACCGTTGTCGTCGTCGCCGCCGCCACCAACCGCCACCACCATCGTCACAACCATTACTGTCATCACCACCACCATCGCCACCGCCACCATCACCACCACCATGCCTTCACAACCACCACCACCATGTCACTGCTACCATTGTTGCCGCCACCAACCACCATACCCACCACTGTTGTCGCTGTCACTGCCGTCACCTCCACTACCACCATTCCCACCACTACCACCGTCGTTGCCACCATTATCACCGCCATCGTTGCAGCCACTGCCGTCACAACCACCACCGCTATCTTCACCACGTCACTGCCACCACCACTATCGTATCGCCGCCGCCGCCACCACCTCAACCACACCATATGGAAAGGAAAGAGTTGATCCGAAATTTTTTTATATTTAATAAGAATTATTTTTTATTATATTATTTGTGTGTTATAAAACACAATTCTCATCCTCGGAATAAAAATGGAACATGATATCAAACACATTTTTTTTCTCAGAACAAGGCACAGAAATAGAAAAGAATAGTTTCTTTTCAGAAACAGTGCTCGGGAATAGAATGGTTGTCATGCACACCCTAAATCACCTCAATGGGAATAATATCTGGACTAACAATCCTATATTACTTGTTGACAATGTGCACTTGTGTTTATCAAGGGTGTTACTCTCACACCAACATGGTAACATAAGCATTACTCTTTTATAGTATTAAATGAGGGGGCTTAAAAGTACAGAAGGTAAGGGAAGGATTATGGTGACCTTCTGCGGGATCTAATATAGGCTAATTGGTTCATTAATGGCAAGGACTTGATTTAGGATCTAGGTATATTTAACTTACTATAATGCAAGGGGAAACAAAGCCATTAATTGATTCTTTACCAACAAGAACTTTATTTAGTATCTTAGTATGTATAAGCCACTACAATACTAGGAGAAACCTAGCCATAAATTAACCTTTAATTGAGTTTTAAGCCCAAGCTAAAATAATATATATTGGGAAAAAAAGTACTTTATCCTCCAGGAAGGGCATGTATTCATAACATGAAATGTGAAAAAATAAAGATTTACAAGTTGAAC